AATTATCAGTACCTGATCATTAAGGAAACGCGTGTGCTCCCTGGTGAAAGATGCAGCCCGGGCCAAACCTAACCAGCACTGAGGATGAGATGCTGAGAGGATGTATCCAGCTGCCCTCGCCCAGCCTCGTCCAAGGCTGGAACCCAAGTGTTTGGCCGTGTCAGAAACTCCCTCGGTTCTCCCCCCCGAGCCCCGGGCGGGCTTTGGGTGGAATCCCCCCGGAGGATGAAAGCAGCTGTCTCCGCTCGGAACAAGGGTGCCGGGTGTCCTGCCTTGCTGAGGGTTGGCCCGGCAGGCCGGACCCGCTCGCTCCGACTCTGGGTGCCTCAGCTCCGGGGGGAGGCGTCGCCTGGGACTCCCCACCTGCAGGGAGAGGGACTCCAGGTCCTCGCTGCACCCGGGGCTGCCCGGCGCCTGCGGGCTGGAGACGTGAGGGATCTTCCTTAACACTGTCCTCCCCGGCCGTAGGGACCGTCAGCTGGATTGCCTTGCTGTTCTTCTGTAATTAACTGTATGCAGCCAGAATTAAGTGCTCTAGTCTGCATTTTTCTTATTGTTTATTCTCTGTGTTACTTGGTTATCTCCTTTCGTTATTAACAGTAAAATCAGCCTGCTCTTTTCACTCTGGCAGTCATTTTCTGAAGGCTCTGAGGATTTCCCTACACGGATGGCGAAGCAACACGGCACCTCGAGACCCCAGCTGTGCCCGGCTGGGGTGCAACTAAGGACATCAAAGATGTCTTGCCCAGCACAAATGGCACAAAATATTTCTGTCAACGGTGCCGTTGTGTCGCAGGTGGGTTTTGTTTCCCACCTTGGCGGTGCACATCCCACACGTGCCCGTGTCGCTGTTTGGATGAAACGTTTCCTAAAGCTGAGGCTGAGCCCTCCCCGCAGCTCTGAACCATTAAGGTTTGTGAGACCATACGTAAATATTTTGAGTCCATCATTAGGTAATCATCTGGGCACGAGTAGGTGATATGTCGTGCCTGGTGCTACCGCCTTCACAGAAACTCTGGGGCCAGGCCGCTGCAGAGGAACCGTCCCTGCCCACGGGGAGCCAGCACCTTCGGGGGATCCACTTTGATCAGATCACGGAGTTAAAGCCCCTCTAAGTTCCAGATGCAAATGACCCCGCAGGTTCAGGACTCCAGGAGATCAGTAAACGGCTGACTTTGTGTTAGATAAAAAACCCCAACGGCTCGAAGGGCTGACTGTACCAACCCTGGCCAGTGACTTCGCTACGACAAAGTGTGTGACTCTGGAATATAATTTACCTCCTCTACTGAGCTTAGCTGTGGGCTGCATTTAGCTACCACAACTTGAGACTAACGCAGCTCTACTGCCGTTTAAACAGGATTTTAAAACACGTTTTTCCTTCTTTTCTCATCTCTTCCAAAGACTTGCTCATGTACCCACAGGTTGAGTTCTAAAGCCCCATGACCTTGGCAGGACACAGTTCTCGGCTCACGTTGGCTCTCACGGGCTCTAGGAACTACACCTGTAGTAGTGTAGTAGTGACTTACACCTCAGAAGCCACTCCAGTGCTTCAGCTTCTCCAGAAAAATCTCTCTTACCCACTCCCCAAACGTTCACAACCAAAAGCCTTCTAGCATTTCGCCTCGGTGCCTGGGGAAGTTTTACCTTCTGAGAGCCTCTCCTTCCAGCCTTGGGCAGCTGAGGTGAAGAACTCGTTGTTGAGCGCGGAGCCGCTCAGCTTCATCAAACCATCCGCCCCCACCTGGAACACAAGGCACGGCGAAGAGCGTTAACAGCGGGAGAGGCTAAAGGCCACGCGGGGCTGGGATCAGAGCAAGAGTCCCAACGTCACCACGAGCCGCTCTGGCGTCTGCCTTTAACCCACTCGGAAGAAAACAAACAGCTGCCTTAAGGCTGTGCTTAGCCAAGCCTGGGATCTGAGAGGCTGTGGTAAACTTTCCTCACACCCGCTTTAGGCCAATCTTCTGCGGTCGTGCTGCTGCACAAACGTACGCGAGCGGCAGTAGAGGTGGGAAGGGGAAGCAGGAGGAGAGAGAACAGCGCAGCCTCGGAAAGCTGCTGCAGGTGCCCCTTCCCCTGCAAAATGAACGTGTGGTATCGCCCAAACTACCACCCACAGCAGCAGCTCTGCTGCCTCCGGGGAACAGAAAGTGTCTGAGGAGAAGCAAGGACATAAAAGGTAACATGGAAAAGTAACTTGGAGGTGTATACAACCATAGTCAGGGATGCTTCAGGGAAATCAGGGACAAATGAAGCTCAAGACCTGTCGTTGAAATACAGGTAAGGAAGAGGGCGGGCATGCTGCAGAGGGACGTAAAGGAGAACACGTGGGGCTAAGGTGGAACGCAGCGCGGTGGGAACCAGACCCAGGGTAAGCAAACACGTAGGAGGTTGGTGTTGGCTCTGTCGCGCAGCAGGAAACGTGGAATTTCTCTACCCGAAACACCAAAACACACGTATCGTTCAGTAAGTCACAAAAACCTGCCCCGAGCAAAACTGCTGCGTTTCCGTTTCTTGTGTAAATAATAAACGGGAACAAAGAAACCAAACCCAACCGCCCCAAGGCAGGATCCGTCGGTGACCCCGGGAGAGCTGGGCAGCCGCGCCCAGGGGCGCAGGGTCTGGGAAACACGGGGCAGCATCGGTGGTGCAGGTGGTTAAAGCGATGGACGTGACCTCATCGAAGGTTGTGCGGGGCAGATTTAGAGACTGTTAGTTACACAGTAACCGGTTAGTTAGTACTAGTCCAAGGCCTTCACCTCTTCTCCCGTTCACCAGGGCAAAGCCTGACGTTTCACGGAGCGCGCGGCTCCGCCGCTGCCGTGGGCTGCTCTAGATCTACTACTGTGAAATGTTAGATCTGTCCTCTCAGGAGCCAAGCAGGATTATTTAGTTGACCAAAATTTGTTCTCAGCCAAATTCTAATTCAATTTAAGGACAATTGAACTTAAAAGTCAGGACAGAAATGTCTTCCCATCTGCTGTGAGGCTCTTGCCAGTGAACTCCAGCTGCAAGCTCCATCACATCATATTCTGACACATACCTAATTATTACAAAGGCCACAGGACTTATAAAACAATTCCTGCAAATATTTATTGGCTCAGCCTTGGACTAACAAGTCCCCAGTGAATGCTGATTGGAGATTAGAATTTATGAGCCAGCATAAAATGTCAGAACCCCTCCTAACTCTGACGGAACACCATCAGCTCCGCAGAGCAGGGGCAGCTGCCAGAGCCATGGGCTTTGTGAACACCTGGTGAGAACCAGGAGAGCAGCACAGCTCTGCAGATGGATTTCACTCCACTAAACATGGATGGTTGTGCTAGAAGTGTCTGTGTCTAAGCTGCTGTCCCTTCACGGCTCACGGTGATCGGGTCAAGCCAGTGCAGGGAGGGGAGAATGTGGTTCATCTCGTCCTGAACTGGGGACCTGTGTTGGGTCACAGGTTCTTGATTCCACTCAGCACCACCCCGAAAAGTGTCTTCAAGGGACTTGCAGGTCTGAGCCAGGACATGCACAAGATTTCACAGAATCCCAGAATCATCCGGGTTGGAAAAGCCCTTGCAGCTCCTCCAGCCCCACCATGACCCTCCCCCTGACCCTTCCCAACTCCCCCAGATCCCTCAGCGCTGGCTCAGCCCGACTCTTCAACCCCTCCAGGGATCCCGGGGACTCCCCCCTGCCCTGGGCAGCCCATCCCAACGCCCAACAGCCCCTTCTGCACAGAAATCCTTCCTCAGAGCCAGCCTGACCCTGCCCTGGGCAGCTTGAGGCCATTCCCTCGGGGCCTGGCGCTGGGGCCTTGGCTCCAGAGACTCATCCCCCCTCTCTGCCCCCTCCTGGCAGGGAGTTGCCGAGGGCCAGGAGGTCTCCCCTCAGCCTCCTCTGCTCCAGACTGAACCCCCCCAGTTCCCCCAGCCGCTCCCCAACAGACCTGTGCTCCAGACCCTGCCCCAGCTCCGTTGCCCTTCTCTGGCCATGCTCGAGTCATTCAATGGCCTTTTTGGGGTGAGGGGCCCAAAACTGAACCCAGGAATCGAGGGGCGGCCTCCCCAGTGCCGAGCCCAGGGCTCAGATCCCTTCCCTGTCCCTGCTGGCCACGCCAGGGCTGACACAAGCCAGGATGCCGTTGGCCCTCTCGGCCAAGGGTCATAAGACCCTCCCCTCGAGCAGATGAAGCCGACAAAAGACAGCACTGGGCTGTCTAGTCTGAATCGCCCCTGGAGATGCTCCTGCTGAGCCCCCCCTGCAGCAGCCACCACCTACCTGCCTGTCCACCTCCGGCAGCAGCAGCAGCAGGCGCTGCTGGCACTCCGAGGGCAGCACGGAGAACGTGTGCTTGTTGATCAGCGCCCGCAGGTTTGTGTTCACCAGGATGGAGTCGGGAGTTTCCACATCGATTTCAGCACACTTGGTTCTCTTCAGCTGCCCTGCAACAAACCACAAAGACCCACGTGACATCTCACCTAAGAGAGGATTAAAGGCTCCGCTGGAGTTCAGGCTACCGGAGGTTTTCGAAGTGCCACCTCCGTGACCCATTTCACGACTCGAAAGATACGCTTTACTTTTGCACATACAGTTAAAAACAATATGTAGGAAGTCTTTTCCAGCACAGGAAACTTCCATACCTGATGTACTGCAGCCGGCGTCTGTTCACCTAACTTTTGTAGGGACCCTGGCTAGCTGGGGGCAAGGAGTCTTTCCCAGGAGGGTTTCTAGAACCGCTCTTAGCCACATCAATTTTCTATTTTAAGCCTCCAGTTAAGGGCAGTTTGTTCCTCAGGGTTTTTTCTTGGACTTTCCTACTTTGTTCTCAGCAAAGTGCATTTCAGAAAAACTCATCAGCTTGTTGTGCTTGCGTAGAAACCCCACCACTAGACAAAGAGTCACTACACACTTTCCTTTGCTGCGTTTGAGAGTCCAGCATTAACCCTTCTGCTCGAGCCAGTGTCGTGTACGTGCTGCAGACCCCGAGGAGAAGGAAGGAAGCGCTTGCACTGGGCACTCTGTTTCCTTTGGACGCGTCCACCAGCTCTTACTGGGAAAACACCACGTGTTTTGAAGCTTAGATTAAAAGAGCATTATTAGCAAACGGGGTAATACTGAGACAGACCCTGCTCCCCTGGCTGCAGGGGTGGCGGCGGTTATTTGTAAGGTAAGGGTGCCTAACACCAGAAATGCCAGGGAGGCTTGTTTCCTGGGGGGAAGTTTGCTCTATTAGAAGTCACGAAGGTGTTTCAAATGCAAATTTGAATTCAAATTTAAATGCATGCTTACAAGCTACTTAAATTGCAGAATTTCCTAATTACGGGGGACAAATGAAAGGTGCCCTGAGAAACGCCTATTTTCACCAGTGGTAGAGAAAATCCGGGATGATCAGCACAGAGAGAGAGACCTCAGGATATCCCTAGGTTCACCGAGGTCAGTGCCACCCCTGGTACAGGTAAGAGAAACCACGCAAGGTCAGGGGGGCTGAGGAAGGCCCAACCTCAGCAAACAGAAGGAAGCCAAACAACGGCGGGGGCTGAGGTCTGAAGGGATTTCTTCTTTCTTTTTGGTGTTAGCGAAGTGTTCCGAGTACCCTAGAGAGCCTGCTAACTAATGCAAGGCCTTTTGTGCTTCTCAAACAGCACGCTGCAAAGTCACAGGTAAAACCCCTGATGATAAGAAATGAGAAAAGGCTTGTTTGCATACGTGATGTTTGGGTTATTTATCCCAATTCACACAGCACACTAGCAGCACCTTAGAGAGTCATCCAGAAGTCACTTTAGCAATGGAATTCATTGCACATTTTACTCAATTTTTGCTATTTAGGCTTTTGTTCGTCAGAGCATCCAAATCTCTGTAAGCAGAGATCCAATCCAATCCATTTTGTCATCAGAGCAACCAAATCTGTAAGCAGAAAAATAAGTATCTTACTTGCATGGAGCCTGTCCGATCTCTGGAACGGTTTCTTCCCCAGCCCTGGCAAGGAGTTATCGAGCTTAACAGAGGGAGAGGAACTGGAGGTGGAGTTCTGAGGGCTGCTTGACTGTCCATCTGACTGCTTTCCTTCCCAAGCTGCACAGGAAATTGAAACGTTTAAACACAGGGATGTACAAAGAAATATGACATGAGACATCTGTTTGGACTGAAATAAAGATTCTTTGACTCGGGTACCTAATCCTAGCAGCTCTGGGCCAAGCACTTCTGGGATACTCACAGTCCTTTGTTCTTGCAGCACCTACTGAGAGTAGAAGACCCCTCTGTGGCTCTCCCAGAGCCATTTCATTTACGGCTGGGGGGCGCTTCCCAGCCAGTCCCATCTTATTTCCCATCTGTAGCCAACCCAGTAACCACCTTGTTAAAAACTTCCTCTCTGAGGCAGTTTTAGCTGCTCTTACTGTCAGGAAGAATCTCTTCATACTTCGCGTGTACTTTCTAAATTTTAACCTACTACTACTGTAGCTTTTGTTCTTTTAGACCACCCTCAGTAATTCCTCCTCCTCTTTCAAATACTCAGGAGATATTTTCATGTCCTCCTCCGAAGTCACTACTTAGCCAAACTAGACAGATTTCACCACTATGATTTCTCCTTACAAACCACTGCCACCCACATTCTCTTTTGTGCAGCAGTAGTTTTTCTGCCGGTGGGAAGAGTTTCTTTCCCAGATTCTCCCTGCCCTCCTTTCCCTCCTCTTCCAAATGAGCTGAATTAAGAACAAGAGCTGGTCTTCCCACCACCCTCTAGGTTTATGGGCACTAGCTGGACTCACTCAAGTACGGAAAAGTACCCAAGTCCCACCCCTCGAAAGAGCAACTCCACAACACACATGATTAGGTCACACACTAAACGAACACTGGCTCTGATTAATGACTGGCACTAATCAGTTCCTTCGCCCAGTCCGTGACAGCTTTATTCCCATCTGCCTCTCTGCCTGGTTCCTTTCCCCTTCCTTCTCTTCCTTACACCAGCTGTTCCACTCCTGACTCAATACATCCCTGAAACCGTGGGACCCGTGTGTTGCTCCCCTGCAGAACTCTGCCCCCTCTGCCGTATGCTGACCCCCCCGTCCCGGCTGGCAGCTACTTCTGGGTACTGTCACGTGGACAGGAGGGGCAGAAGGACCCCACGGATGCTGGTGAAGAGTGTACAAATGCCACTCACGCTGCAGCAACGCCCGAAGGCTTCTACGGCACAACCAGGCTGTTCTCAGATGGAATGGGCCGAGTAAGGCCGCAGCAAAGCTGAGGGATGTGGCTTTCCTGAGGCTACGCGGGGTGAGTTTGGTCCTTAACTTCTTTCTGTCCCTCACAAAGGAGAGCTCACATGGCTGGAGAGACAGAGCAGCTCCTCAGAAAAGCCAGGCAAGAAGAGGAGTCGAGAAGGTTGTCTCTACCCTTAGGAACTCGTGGGACAACATGAGTGGAATCCAGAGGTCCTGGGGGAGCCCAGCCGTGTCCTCACAAGGGCCGCTTGCTACCACTTTTGAAGGAGAATGAAGATCGTGGCAGATTCCCCACAACCAAGCAAGGCAAATGTTCAGAAAGGGCCCTAAGGGCAACCTGAGAAAATACAGACTGGCCAGCCTCACTTTCCTCCCCGGGAAAATCACGAAGCGACTCCTCTTGGAGCACATTTCTGGTCACGCGAAGGAGATATGGGGACCTGACCAGGGGAAATGCTGCAGGCTTTGGCAGTGCCACGGGCTGGGGATGGTGCTGCTGGAGGGGACGTGGGGGCCCTGGCAGACACAACAGCATCATCCTGGGCTGGGGGGCCACGGGGCCGCAGCCAGCAGGTGGAGGGGAGCGATCACCCCTCCCTGCTCAGCTCTCCCCAGCCCACACCTTGACTCCGTGTCCCCTCCCGGGGCCTCCGACACAAGGAAGAGATCGGAGCCCAGGAGCGGGCGCAGCTGAGGGCCCCCAGATGCCCGGGGGACGGCAGTGCCCGCCCGGGGAGGAGAGGCCGAGGGCTGCAGCGTCTCAGGCTGGAGAAGGAAGAAGGTTGAGGGACACCTGGGAGTCACCACCCTGCTCCTGCCAGAAGCCAGAGCCAGGCTGGTCCCAGTGGCGCAGGGCAGGAGGACGAGAGGAAACGGGCACGAGTCAGGCGGGAGAGAAGGAAAAGCTTTTCCCCACGGGGGGAGTCCAGCAGTGGGGGGCCCAGAGAGGTTCTGTCACCTCCGAGCTGGGAGGGTTCCAAGAGCCGCCTGGCCAGAGCCCGAGCGCCCTGGGGGAGGCCGAGCTGCCCCTGCTCCGCGCTGGGGGGGCTGGGGACCTCCCGAGGTCCCTGCCAACGTCAACGGTCCTGTGACTCCAACACCCTTTCAGAGCAGCAGTACAAAGGCCGGGTAAATCGATACACGACACCTTGCAACTGCAACGTAGCAGCAAAATACAGGAAAGTTGGAGAGAGAAAAACAGAAACAAAAAATTAAATAGAGATGCTGGAAGAAAATAGTTCCCCCATGATTAAAGCGTGTGTGGCAATAGTTTGGGGAGAGTGAAAGCAAAATAAGGAGAGAAACTGCTACACTGTGACCTCCCGGCCCGGAGGGCTGGGACAGAGCCCGGGAAGGGCCAGAGACGGGCCGCCAGCAGCAGGGTCCTGGCTGCAGGCAGGGAAGGGAAAAGCCTCGCTGCAGTCACAAAACATGAAGATGCCAAACAACATCCATTTGGATGACTTACTCCATTGGTCTGTTTTAATAATTACCTTAGCTAGCAATCCGGGGGCACGTCCCGCCTCTTGCAGTCCCTCTCAGGTCTCCTCTGGTCCCACTTCCCGAAGTACAGACCCAACGCCCCTGGGGCAGGGTGCCCAGGAGGTGGGATCCTCCAGGACTATCTGCCTGCTGTGCTAATGAACCCAGCGGGTTTAATCCTAGTTAGCAGAGAAACTGCAGAAGGCTTTCAACTGTCATTTTGTGCCAAAGCCTTTACACACCTGCCCCTGCATCTTCTTAACGTCGTCACGGGAAATGTGTGATTGTCCACTGGATTAATTTTGGCTTCCTTCTCAGCTCAGGTGTGAGGGGCACAAGCACAGCTCAGGAGAGAATTTCAAACAAGTAAGATGATAGAAACCTTTTTCCCCTTAACCTTTTTGAAAGGGTCTGAACTACAAAGCTTCCTGGGAACCAGAGGCGACCTCATCAGCTGTTAAATACTTTCTCTGCTATTAAACGATGCATGAAGTACAGCTGATAAATAGGCCTGTTCCCCTCAACTGGATATATGGTGCGCAGCCACAACCTTGCATCTGCCTCAACAGATGTTACAAGAAACATTCCAGCAGCATTATAACCAGCGAGCCAGGACAGACTGGTCTAGTTTTGGTTTGGATTTGTTCAGAGATAGTTGGAAAGGGAGAATAAACAAACGCACTAAAACACAGACAGAATTTTGTACTGGAGAAGATCAGCATGAGATGAGGAAACATCTCCAGTTGTGCAAAAGGTGGTCAGGGAAGAAATCGAATAACCTGCCCTCTGTGTCCCTGGTGGACAGGACAGGAAACCTCGGGTTTAAACCCATGGATGCAAGGAAAGATTCTGATTAGAGGCTAAGAAAAACATTTTAAGGATAAAGTTCAGAAAGCAGGAAGGGCACATGACTTGCTGGGAGTTTTGGCATCTCTCAGAACAGCCTGAAGAAAGCAGCTGATGGGAACACATCACAGGTCCCACCCTGAGGAAGGACGGGGACTAGAAGAGCTCTCAGGGTACTCCTAGGCTCAGCTTCTGACAGCTCTAGGAAATTTCTTAACCTGACCAGTGAATGTCAGCTAAACAGTCACGTAATGACACCAAGAATACATAAGAGCAGATGTTCTCCATGCTCATATTGTCTCACTGCCACTGGATAATCCTCTCTGGCTACTTCTACCCCAGTAACTGAACGGTGATGGGGACATTCCCCTGGCCCCAGGGTCTGGCCCAAGCTGCCCGTGGTCCCATCCCTGCGCCTTCCGCCTGGCCCAGGCGGGGCTGGCGCTGACAGATCCAGGTGCTGTGCCCAGTATGTCGGCAAGGACTGACTCGGGAGCAGAGATGCAGCTTCTCTCCCTCCACGGGCAGGTGTTTCTTGCTCTAAGCACGCCCTTACTGGCTGAGGGACTGGTTGGAAGGGAAGGAGTTGTGGGACTGGAAAGAGGTGCTGCAAGAAGGAGGGGGACACACCTTTGCTCTCCAAGGTAACCAACTGCTTGGTATTACCCGTGTTACCAGGCTTTACCAACAAGGCATTTTAAAAAAGACTGAAAACAATTTAGGATTTGGGAGTGGAGATTAGTGTTGTTGTGAACTGGTTTGCTTTCTCGCCCTTTTTTCAGGCAAGCTCCACATCTGCCAGTGTCAGCCACTCCCTCTGTGCCTGGACACAAGTCTTTTCCCGTGAGCGTTCTCACTGCGTCTTCCTCGACAGTTACATTTTCATGACCATCATCTTGCTGAGATGAATCAGGACCAGCCAGGAAAATCAAGGGTGAAGGATGGAAAAAGAGGGTAATTACTGAGGGGTGGGAGGGATTTCCATCTCAGAATCCCAGAATCATTCAGGTCGGAAAAGCCCCTCGGGATCATCGAGTCCAACCCTCAGCCCGACTCTACACAGTTCTCCCCTACCCCACATCCCCCACAGCTCATCCCAACGGCCCTGAAACCCCCCCAGGGATGGGGACTCCCCCCTCCCTGGGCAGCCTGTTCCACTCTCGCACCACTCTTGCTGGGAAACATTTTCTCCTCCTGCCCAGCCTGACCCTCCCCTGGGGCAGTTTCCAGCCGTTCCCACTTGTCCTGGCCCTGATCCCCTGGGAGCAGAGCCCAGCCCCAGCCTCTCTGCAATGTCCTGTCAGGAGCTGCAGAGAGGGATGAGGGCTCCCCTCAGCCTCCTCCTCCTCACACTCAACACTCCCAGCTCCTTCCCTGGCTCCTCACAGCATTGATTCTCCAGCCCTTCCCCAGCCTCGCTGCCCTCCTCTGCCCTTGCTCCAGCCCCTCTCTCTCACAGCTGTGTCTGGGTTTGAGCGAGCTCAGCACCCGACCCGTGATGATTAGCACAGCAGAGGGGGCACACGGGCACACACAGCTCAGGCAGGCAGGACAGTGCCCACGGTGCAGCTGGTGAAGCAGGATCAGAATCCACAGGACTGTGAAGCAGAGGAGGAGATCATTGCTTTTGGAAGGGATCTCAGCCTCAAAAAGCCCTCTTCTCCTCTCACACATGAGGCTGCTGATCCCACCCTGCCTCTCCCTGCTCCACACCACAGAGACCAACCCTGTGCACTTAAATTCTCTTTATTTCTTAGGTCCCAACACCCTCCCCTCACCATTACAGCTGCAGGACTTCATGCCAAGGAATGGCTGGGCTGACTGATGAAAGAACAGATATGATCCCTGTATAGAAACGTGAAGTGATGTACGAAAAGAAGAACTCCCCTAACCTCACAGGCATACTGCTGGGCCCCTAGATAGAAGATAACAACTCAGGAAAGAGTCTCAGTCTTAGCAGTTCTAGGAAAATCCCCACTCTTGGAGGGGTCCAAAACCAGCAAACTGAATACTAGGGATTGATAAGAAAAGATGAACAAAATACAGAGTACCAAAGTGATGCTACACAAATTCAGAACACATCCTGCACCCGGAATACCGGGTGTGGTTTTCACTCTCTATTGCAAAAAGCACGTGGCTTTCCATGGGAGGAATGAGGAAATACAGTAGGACTCTTCAGACTGAAAAAAAGAGATGTCTACAGAAGTCATAAGTGGCAAAATTGTCAAACAAATGGTAGTTGTTCATCGCCTGTCTGACAATTAGAAAGAAATCAAATGAAAGTATGAAATGCTGGGCTCAAACCAAACAAAATCGAGGAGTTTTCACAGCGTGGGGTTTGTCACAAAATCTGCTTTGTAATTTAGGCAAATCCACGGAACAGAATCCCATCCAGGCCAAGAAATCCAAAGACAGAGCCCCCTGCTCTGGAGCTCACCCTGCTCTGAGCACCTCTCCCTGTGCGGGCTGTCGGCAGCGCTGGTCACCAGGCCAAAGGCGGTTGGTTCGGTTTGAAGGAACTACCAGGAACTGGTGGTACCTAGTGAAAGGCTGCTGGGGGCAAGGGAGCTAACGCACTGCTGAACCAACAGGAGCAGGGTGGTGATCTCGTTGATTTCTAACGTGGAAACCTCCTGGAGACTCTTCAGATCTTTGGAAGGAGACATGAGAGCCATGCTACAGGATGAGAAGCCACTTTGGAAAAAAAAATAAAATAAGAGAAACCCCACCTAATCTGCTTAGCCATGAGAAGTACCTGAGCACAGCGTCCGGGCAGCTGTAGGGGAAGATGTTTAGCACAGAGAGCAGCTTTCTAACCAGACACCAGCTCAGCCAGACTACTCTTAACTGAATGCATTCCTAATGAAATCAAAGCCAGGAAAACAGAAGCCAGGCTGATTCCGAAACAAAAAGAGCGCCACATGAAAAGAGCACTTCCTTCTCTCGACCCCCAAGAGGGATAAAAGGGAAGTTAAACGAGCGCAGAGGAGCGTCTCCGCCACGTACCCGGTTTGGCAGGTGCGGAGTCGCCGGCTGCCTTGACGGCCTTCAGCAGGGCGTGCTGGCTCGACGACACGGGCATGCCTGCTCTGCATTGCTGCTGCTGCTGCTTCTGCTGCTGCTGCTTCAAGGCCTGGGGAAGAGGACAGAAGAACATGACCAAGGAGAAATTCAAAATAATTCTTAAGAGATTTGGTACTCGGCACAAACCACTTGTTTCACAGTGACCGACGGTTGCGTTCGGAGTCTACGTCAAAAGTTCGAAACCGAGTTCTGACAGACCTTCAGTCCGCGTGTTTAAATACGCTGCGAGTAGCCAGACTCCCTACCTTGCAGCTAAAGTAAAAAGTTAATGTTTGCAGAACATCTTAGTTGTGTTCTTCCATGAAAAATGATCTCCAGAGAATGCAAAGAGAAAGGATTCCGAATCGGGAGTTGGCTCAAGAAGTAATTATATAAATAACTTCAAAGTAAAAGCACCATAACGCAATTCATTTCAGTCTCCTTGCAAGTAGCAGCTTACTAAAAACCTTCAACAGAGACACGACCCTTAGGAAAGACTTTCTTCGTTAGGAGAGTAACAAGGATTAGAACACTGAAGGGAACAAAATAAATCCCTTTGTTTCAGACTGTTAAGGTGACCGAAACATGGGCTAAAAAGGCACAAACGACTACGACAAGGAAGTAAGAAGGGATCTGGTTAAACTGCAGCGTTCACCCAAACCAAAGCGTCCGTTTTCAAAAATTGAAATCCAAACCCAAATGAAGTTAACAGCAGAATAAATTATGACAGATCAAGTATACCGTGGAATTTTGAAATAGGAAGCAACCAGAAATGTTGTGTTGCATAAATAAATCTGAGTGAGCCTGCTAACTAGAGATCATCACTGTCCTGGATGATAGTAACAACTAATACAGTTGGAACTAGGAGAGAGAATAAAAATACGTGGGGACCCACAGAATCTGTCACCTGAAGAAAACAGAAGACAGCCTGACTTTCAGTCTGTAAACACACAAATGAGGAGAGGGACGACAAAAGGGTACGGACCACGCGCAGACACGTTCAGTTCCCGTTTTCCTATTTATTAAATAGTTCCTATTTAGCCGCTTCTCCCACAGGTTGAAAAAACCATTCAGCCAAACTGAAACAGCAAAACTGAAAATCGGCAGGAGGAAGTACCCTCTGCAATGCACAATTAACCTCCTGTTATTGAGGTCAGGTTTTTTTTTAAAAGGAGAAATAAAAAGAGAGACCTGGCATTCATATGAGTAACAAAAAAAATCCATAAACAGATCCAGGGAAGCTTTTACAAATTATTCGTTGGTTTGAAGATGAACCACAGGCAAAGGTGAACGCCTCAAGTACCGGACCACGCAGATGGCTAGTTCAGGGGGCTGTGTGACTCCCACGCCTCCCTGGCGGAAATCACTCCCAATATTTACGGGTTTGTACATTCAGTTCATCTCCTACTCCATACGCCATCTCCTTGCTGCGTTTTTCTCAGCTTAGAGAGAACAACCTGCTTTTGTTCGTGGTGTCACCTCGGTTCTGGGTCCCGCGGCGCCTGAGGCGCCCACGGCAGCGGTGGGAAGAGGAGGGAATGATTATTCGTTAGGCACCTCTTCTTCAATTCTGCGTCAGCTTCACACTTGTGGGCTCTGTTACAAACGTTTGGGGGTTCTGTTGATAAAGCTAAATTTATATTGAGTCCTGTCATAATCGTAGAGTAATTCAGGCCAAAAGGGACCTCAGGAGGTCCCCAGCCCCCCAGTGCGGAGCAGGGGCAGCTCGGCCTCCCCCAGGGCGCTCGGGCTCTGGCCAGGCGGCTCTTGGAAACCTCCCAGCTCGGAAAACCGCTCTGGGCCCCCCACTGCTGGACTCCCCCCGTGGGGAAAGCTTTTCCTCGTGTCCTGCTTCTCCTTACACCCGTTGTTCCTCATCGTTCCACCTCCGTCACTGTGTTGTGACGAGCCTGGCGCCGTCTCCTCCATCACCTCCTTGTAGGTACGGGGGGGTGGGGAGGCTCCCAGCTCCCCCGTAACACCCTACAGCAGGCCCAGCTCCCCGTAACACCCCACACCATGCAGAGCACCCCCACAACACCCTGCAACAGGCAGAGCTCCCACACAACACCCTGTAACAGGCAGAGCTCCCCCACAACACCCTGTAACAGGCTCCCAGCTCCCCACAACACCCTGCAACAGGCAGAGTTCCCCAACAACACCCTGTAACAGGCAGAGCTCCCCACAACACCCTGTAACAGGCAGAGCTCCCCCACAACACCCTGTAACAGGCAGAGCTCCCCAACAACACCCTGTAACAGGCTCCCAGCTCCCCCACAACACCCCATACCAGGCCCAGCTCCCCTCAGCTCCAGCCACACAAGGCCCCCACTCTGCCATCCCACCCCCCGTCAGGAACCAGCCAATCAGGAAAGCACTAGCTACCCCGCACCCACCAATCAGGCGGCAGGTTCTAGGCACCACGGCCGCAGAACCCTCTGGAAGGCGCAGAGGCCCCGCTCCCTCCGAGGGCTGGAGCACGACAAACCCCTCAGCCAGCACCAGCCCGACTCTCCTCTGCCCCGGCCTGCGCGGACGCTCCCCCCGTGCCCGCGCTGGGACTCGTTATTTCTTATTTTCCTTTTTGTTTGCCTTTCAGCTGTCCTTTGTCTTCGCCGAGCGAGAGGGCAGATGTTCCTCGGGGCACAGGTGCGTTTGCACAAAGGGCAGCAACCGCCCCCCTCGCTGTCGAGGGCGGAAACCACCACTTGATTCTACGGAAGAGCTGAAAAGGAGCGGAATTCAAAATGGCGCCATCCAGCACCACCAGCACCTCCAACTGTCATGTAAACAAAAACCCGACAGCTCCTGGCTGTCAGCTCCGCTGGGGATGAGAACCGGGACCAGGAGCTGCTCCTACGCACCCACCCCTTGCTCTGCCCCTGCCCACGGGCCCCGATAATGATGCTAAACCCCCCAGAGGATGCTCTGAACGGAGAAGAATCTGTCTTGTACCGCTCCCTTCCTCACAAAAAAGTTGACAAAGCCACGATTCACCCACCAGAAGGCTTTTGTAGGGTGTAGCCCCACCCAGTCCCTGGCCGTACTCGTCCCACGTATGCAGCAACAGAAGAATAATGGATGAAGAGGAGAGCCAGTGGGACACGCCCGATCAGGGCAGGGGCTGTGACTGCTAAAAACCCCGCGGTGAGATCTGGAGCGAGGGAGGGGATGGGGCTCGCCTCTGCCCCCACCGCGGCAGGGCCGGGCCCAGCGCTCCCCAGTGCCGGGGCACAGGGACAGACTGGAGAGAGCCCGGCGAGGGGCCCGGGGCGCGGAAGGACGGGGGCAGCTCTGCTGTGGGGAGAGGCTGAGGGACCTGGGGCTGCTCAGCCCGGAGCAGGGGAGGCTCAGGGGGTGACTCCGTGTCTGCAAACACCCGCGGGGAGGGAGCCCGGCTCTGCCCGCGGTGCCACCGGCACAAAATCAGAAATTCCACCCAAATAGGAAATACGCTTTTACTATGAGGGGGAGCAGGTGCTGGCACAGAGAAGTTGTGGATTCTCCCTCCTCAGAGATCTTCAGAAACCGCCTGGACGTGGCTCTGGGCAAGCAGCTCCGGGTGACCCCCCCGAGCAGGGGGTTGGAGCAGAGGGACCCCAGAAGTCCCTTCCAACCCCAGCCAGTCTGGGTTTCTGTGAATTCTGACGGCAGTGGGTACGGATGAGATGAGGGCAGGGATTGGAGAGGACCGGAGGAAAGAATTCGGGTAGTACCTGCATTTTACGGCCATGGGCGAGAACCCGCCTGTCTTTCTGGATCTGGATTATAAATTTCAGAGTCTCAAGGTGGTGGGGTTTGCATCAGCACACCCTCACTGTAACGAAGGGGGTTTCTCCCCCTGTGGCTGTTTCATCTTTCCACCAGGATGAGCAGCACTGACATCTCTCTGCCGGTTTGGATTCAGATATTGCCAACCTCTAACTCGGGGGTTTCTCCAACTCGTTGTAAAGAATGTGGCCACCTGCTCCCTGACCACAACTGCATGGTGGTGGCACACCAGCGTGCACCATACTATCGGTTGTACTTTACAGTTTTATCTCTGATGTGTTTGTGAACTAAATGCTGATTTTTATTTCTTAAAGGACCCGTTACTTCCTGTCAGTACAGCGGGAGCGTGGTGTCCCGGGGTTAAAAGTTCTCAGCACCCGCTCTCTTTTCCCTCCAGCACCGTCACAATTACTTAGCACTTAAGACAGGAGGGCTGAATCCAGCCAGCTGTCTTCTGAAGAGCATGCTAGCAAATAATCTGGGTTGCAGACGTAATTAAAAAGATAAAGCTTTCTTTAATTCTTGTTTCACTCAGTAGCTTATGTTTTTCCTACTACTCAGAACACTGCTGTCTCCTTCCTGCTGTCTACATTCGCTCATTTAATCTACTTTGTGTAACTTTTCTGACCACAGTGACAACCATGTTTAGGAAGAGGAGGAAGCTGTGATATCAGGTCAAACGGCAGAATTCCACTGGAACTAAAATTAAGCAAAGGATCACAGAATGACAGAGTCACTCAGGCTGGAAAAGCCCCTCGGGATCAGCGAGTCCAACCCTCAGCCCGACTCTACACAGTTCTCCCCTACCCCACATCCCCCACAGCTCATCCCAACGGCCCTGAAACCCCCCCAGGGATGGGGACTCCCCCCTCCCTGGGCAGCCTGTTCCACTCTCGCACCACTCTTGCTGGGAAACATTTTCTCCTCCTGCCCAGCCTGACCCTCCCCTGGGGCAGTTTCCAGCCGTTCCCTCTTGTCCTGTCCCTGATCCCCTGGGAGCAGAGCCCAGCCCCAGCCTCTCTGCAATGTCCTGTCAGGAGCTGCAGAGAGGGATGAGGGCTCCCCTCAGCCTCCTCCTCCTCACACTGCACACTCCCAGCTCCTTCCCTGGCTCCTCACAGCATTGATTCTCCAGCCCTTCCCCAGCCTCGCTGCCCTCCTCTGCCCTTGCTCCAGCCCCTCCAGATCTCTCTCGTACTGAGGCATTGAGGATTAGGCATGCAATATTCTTAATCTGATCTGAGCTAGATCAAACAGTTAAATGATTGAATGGTTTTGTTGTTCTCTGGTAACACCTTCTTTTTCCTGTGTGCATGCAAGGGAAGTTACAACGCGACAGACTGACACTTGTGCTCCTGTGCCACGGAGCTGAGCTCAGGGAGGAGAGCTGCTCCGAGGAAGATGACCACCATCAGAAACAGCTTTCTGCCCCGCAGAGAGCCGCAGGAGGGTTCAGTACAAACGGGTATGCTATGCAGCCATCAAGGCCCCCATGTGGTTCCCCGTTTCCCTTTCAGGTTTTCTTTTTTTTTTTTCCCAAACCGATGAGATGAACAGTGAAACTGAGAATATCGTCTAAACTCTGGAACTCCCCGGCTCTGACATACTTAATTCAGCGACAGCGGTGGGACGAGGATGCTCGGGTACACACCTCAGAGCAAGGAAGTGGGGAGTGGGAGAGGGAGAGAGCAGAGACAGGGCATGAATATAAAGGTGGGGGGCAGCTGGTGGGAGCAGCAGCACTGGGAATTCAGAGGTGAAAAGGAGAAGACTGTTAGGCAGGTACGGGCAGAGGCTGGGAAGAGAGGAGAAAAGGAGACAGAGTGCAGGTTGGGAACAGTGTTGGTTTGGAAATGGGGTGTGGGTTTGCCCAGATGTCCCTTCCAACCTGTGATTCTGTGGAACATGGACCTGCAGACCAGAGGGAATGAAGAGGAGCCGCCGAGCACGAGAGGGGAAGGAGGGCTGCTCACAACAAACCCCGAATCTGTTTGATCACCCTCCTAAAAGAGAGATGCAGCTGTCAGAGAGAAACGATTGCCAGCCAGGCTTGAAGAGGGATGAGGAGGGGAAAGCGAAGAGTATAATTAATATCTTGACGAATTAGTGAGAAGCAATTTTCTGAGGATCCAAATGAAAGTGGAAGCTTGACTCTGAACTTCAGAAAATCTGCCTGAAGAGACAACACAGTCTTACTTCTTTATTGTGGCTGTCGGCAGCAAACGACATCAGAGTAACACGGACACTTCTGTCGAGAAACAGCTGAGTGGGAAAAGAAAGAAGCGAGAAGATTCCCTAGAGCTGGTGTCTCACTTTGACATCAACTCAGCTCTCTCTTGCTGGGAACAGAGCTCCAGTTTATCCAGCTGCCTTATCTCCCCCGTCGTACTCTCCTCAATGATACGCCCTAATTAGATCCTTCTCTCACTGCAGACCCTTCTCCCAAGGCCAGGGGCATCCCTGTTAGCTGAATGCCACCCTGAGCGCTGCTTCTCGGCTGGAAAAACTCAGGAAAGCAGGCTGGGAAAGGTAAATCCTGTCTGGAACACATCGTGATTTCATCTGTCTGTGACAAGCTTCTGTAACCCCTGGGCTAGCGTGTCCTCTGACACGTGATGCATAACCCTTACAGATTCTTACTTTACTCTCAGGAGTAAATCTAACCCTGATAGAGCATTTCCTTCCTAAGGCTCATGGAAAACTAAACAACGCAGTTGGGGAAACACCTGCAAATAAGGCACTCAGGGGACTAATTCATCTTGCATTTTTCATTAGCGGAAAGAAATCGTTTGAAGTGCAAACACCTACCTGCCGCACCCCGCGTGCGCACAATTAACACCCTCTACACGACAGTCCTTGCCCAAGCCTGGAAAACAGTCAGCCCTCCTCTTTGTCCCCTAACACCCCGCGGAGGTGCAAGGCAAAGTCAGTGAGCTCTCCTTCCCCTTCCTCCCTCGGCAGGTACACACAGGCTGCACCCCCAGAACTCCCTGGAAGGGAAAGCATGCTGCTAATTAGGGGGAGAGGTCAGTGGATTTAATTCTTTTCCCCAGAACACCTTCCGTTTACTAAAACCGTCTGTAGAAAGCGAAGCGCACTCATTAAAAGGTTGGGTGAAAAGAACTAACACCTTACAGCCATTCTCTAATAACCAAAAAAAAAAAAAAGTCCAGATGCTTATTTAGGGAAAAAAAGAAAAATAACTAAATAGCACAATATTTTGAACCACCTTTAAGAGCAGAGATGTTTTAGCCCAACCCTGTCTATGAGGCAGCGAGGCAGTCCTGAGTAACTTCCCTGCAGAGTGCAGTTTCACTGAGGTTACCAGAGGACTAAAATGCCTGCGAGGACGCCCAGGCCGGGCTCCAGACCAGGCTGCTTACCTGTTTGAGTGCCTTCTTGCTGTGCTTCTGGGATGAGGAGATGACTTTGCCTGCCTGGATGGAAGGTGACGGGCAGCCTGACTGAGGAGAGGATGTCTGTGATAGTCTAGATGACACTACAAGAAAAGAAAAATATAGAGAGATACGTAATCCAACCTTTATACATTTCCCTGCAGCACGTTAGCCAGTCCTCACCAGTTCAGATCCTCTCATGAGGCTCGTGAAAACTGCGCCTCCAGCAAATGTTCCTTTTTGCAGGAAGAATCATTTCTATTTCCTCCCCACCACCAAGGCAGCTGCTTTCCTCTGAAAGCCAACAGCAATTCCTATGACCCACTTCAGATTTTTCATCTCCTGTCCACCTCTTTATTAATCTTGCAAACAGGTGCTATAAAACAACACTGCAGCTTGAGAAAAAGCTTCAGGTTCACACCGGTTTAGCCAAGTCACATCTAACTGGAAACACAGACACAGGCAACGGTTGTCTTAGTCCGGAACGACCTGCAGTCAGACACCTAACTGATGGCAGTTTCTGGTCAGATTAAATCTGAATCCCACGCAGGAGCGGGAAGATAAATGAGATGCAAAGGAAGTGGAACATCACTTGCTCCTTTCTAAAAAAGAAATATGGGAATATACAGGATATCCCAGTAAATGAACACGTATTCCCAGTGGATGAGCCCAGAGGCTTAAACCTAGTCCGAGCCATATGGAGTCCTAAAGCAGAAGGCTCCTACTTTCAGGTGATTTAGACTTTTAAACCAAACAAACTGGGGGTGGGATAATATACTGTATCAATACATACTGTACTAATATAGATATTCCTGTTGGCACAGGATACCAAACCACTCTGCTCTGGCAGCAGTGGGTGACAACACGTGGCCAGAGAGGGAAACCACGTGGTCCCCGTCTCTCGTAATCACGGTTTCGTCTCTATCGTCTTGGCAAATACAGAGAGGTGGTTAGAAAGAAACCTCCTGAGTCACCAACTGTGTGGTCTGCGCATGGACCTGCGTGTGAATTTGTGCAGACAGTGATGCCCACTGCAAGGTCAAGGAAACCAAACGAAGAGTAAAAGGAATGTTTGATCGCGGGGAGGTGGGTGGTCACCCTGACCATAAACCAGATTCAGATGGAAAGTATTTAAATAAATGATTGCTTCCCGAAGCGATTAGTGCTAGAATGCACAAGGCTAAGCTAGCATCCTCCTGCAGCAGGAAGGAGTTAAGCGATAACGACAACAGCTCTTCATTAATGAAGTGTGATCCCGCTCACTACTCCCAGAGGAGGGAAGCTCCCCAAAACACTACAGTAACAGTAAGCATCAGAACGCAGCATTTCAATAAAATGTGTAGAATTTGAAACAACAAATTATAAAAACTAGAATTCTCACACGTGGCGTGGAAATTAAATGAAAAGAGCAAGTTTTTTGGGAGGCACACAGAGCAGAGGTGAGGCAGTATCAGACTGTGAACTGTCGTTTAAAACAACAACAAGAAGATGTGGTAAGAAACCCGTAATTTGGAAGTCCCTGAGAAGATTACCAAATGCAGATGACACATGCACATAATAAAAGATGACACGGTCACACAGTGAGCAGAATTACCACTTAAAAGGCAAAAAAAGAACCCTGATGTTATGCTAAGACCTGGAAAGCGAAGGTTATATCTGTACTTTGAAAGAGCAGTAAGAACGTTTGTAAACTTGCATTTGTGTCTCCACTGGGTGGAAACTGCAGTTTGAGAAGAAGACGCTGGGAAAGATCAGAGTCTGATCAGCACCCGGAGAGGAAACGCAGATCTCACCAACTCACCAGAGCTCTCTGAGTGCATCGATAAAGAGAACTGGAAGGAAAGAAAGTCTGTTGCTAAGAGTTCACTCACCCTTCCAGAGATTTGCAACAGAAGGCTTCTAAAAATTAGTTGGCTATTGTTTAAAAAACAAAGAACTGGCGGAACTGATGCTGGATGGGACAGAAGGCAAAGAACAGAATCAAATGGCAATCGGGCGAGAAATCAGCAAAAATTCTGCAAGGTCACGTACTTAGCAGGGAGGAGTTTAGTGCTTAGTGATAGACTGGAAGGCAGGAAAAGGTAAAATATTAAATATTTAGTTTAAAGTCAGAGAGAATTGTGTGAAATTCAGAGAAATACCAGAGAACCCCAGAACCATCCAGGTTGGAAAAGCCCTTGCAGCTCCTCCAGCCCACCATGACCCTCCCCCTGACCGCTCCCAACTCCCCCAGATCCCTCAGCGCTGGCTCAGCCCGACTCTTCAACCCCTCCAGGGATCCCGGGGACTCCCCCCTGCCCTGGGCAGCCCATTCCAACGCCCAACAGCCCCTTCTGCACAGAAATCCTTCCTCAGAGCCAGCCTGACCCTGCCCTGGGCAGCTTGAGGCCATTCCCTCGGGGCCTGGCGCTGG